TATTTTTTCAAATTACAATTCTGGAAAGAGGAGTATAAACTGTCTCCAAAGATCTATGCCTAGGGAGCCCTCAAATACTTCCCACAAAGAAAACCCTTAACAGCTGCAAACATTCTCCATGCCTGAAAGTTCTGGCCACTTGAAGCGTATGTACTGTGTGTGGCTAGATTGAGTTATTCACATGGAGTGCTCATGAGTCCTGTTCCCGACTCTGTAGGCCTCAAGAATTCCTTGGCATTCTACAACTTGGAAATTCTCCCCCCAGGGCTTTAGCATTGTATAGGCCTTTGGATTTAGGCGAGAGAGGGAAGGCAGTGAGGGCCAAATGTCTGGAGGAGATAAAGCGAAGGCTTCAGCTCTTTCCAAACTCTTTTAATCGTACCAAGCTTGATGGAATAGGCCTCATAAGAAAGCGGCCACAATGAGGGGGCATCTTCCCCGTTCAGGGCCCCCTTGAAACCAAGAACACCCAAAACGTGGGGGTGGTTTCTCCAATCCGTAAAGTATTAAAACCCAAGCGCTCGCTCATGTCCCTTTTAACAGTTCCCTCAGAAGATCCTTTCGCAGACTGGAAAGTGGGCTGGCCCCCAGAAAATCCCCCTCCCGTAATTAGGTCAAGTTTCTTACCCCACAGACGATCAGCTGTTCCCCTCACCTTTCACCAACAACAAAAACAGCACTCAGACTCCAGAAGGGGCGGAGGAAGAGCGCGTGCGAGGGCTTCTGGGTTGTGTGGTTCTTCCCTGGGCGACGGCGCCTAGCCAAATTCTTTGGGGACTACACATCCCAGGAAGTCGCGCGCCAGGGGGAGGAACGGAGGGGCGGTGTCGGCGGCGGCTTCCGCGCGGCATTCTGGGATGTGTAGTCCTTATTTCTGTGGCAGGGCACGAGGGTGTGGCTACCAAAGGACTTCATAGCCCATGATTCTTCGGGAGGCAGGGGTGGCACCCGTGGAGACTGCTGGTTTGGGGCGTGCATTAGTTGGGATAGGAGGGTTTATGTTTCTAAAGGGATGCGCAAACCATTTATAGTGGGCAGGACATTTTCGGGGACATCCTCTTCTTTCACTTTTCGCAGCCACCCGTAAGATATGTTATGCACCTGTGCCGAGGAAGAAACGAAATCATACAATGGTTAAGTAACTGGTCTGAAGTGTCAAAAGTTATGAAAACCGATTTTCATTAGGGTTTGTGAGTCCTTTGCTGCTGTCCCTACAGCATAACTATTCACCATTTAGGGGACAAGAAACATGAAACTATAGTAGCAGTTTCTTCTTTGCTTCAGCCTCAGGAACAGCGCTTGTAATGCACTATGTATTGCACATGATTGATCATTTTCTTCCAACTTGAAGATTTCAGTAACAAAGGGCCTGACATTACTCACACACTTAGACAAGTGTCCCCTCGACTGACCTCTAGGTCTACCAAGAGCATGTATTGCCCAGCTGGGGAGCCATAGAAGGAAAAAACCTGGCTTCGAAAAGGGAGCCTAGTGTGATTCAGGCTATGTCACAACTCACAAACAAGCCACTTACAGGGGCCTGTTTGCCCAAGCCTTTTAACTAGCTTAAGTTAATTAGGGTAACAATACAGGTGGTTGCTCTGGTTTTTATTTAGAAGAGGTGAAATATTTACACTCCTCCCACACCCTAAGTCACCTTAAAGATTTGACCACCTCCTAACTTTTTAATCTGAGGGTTCAGAATTATCTTTTTCCCAGCCTCTGTATGAAGGGATTGCAGTCTGAGGATTGATTTCCTCTTCCTAGCTGCCTGCTTTAATTCTCTGCTACATTAAGTACTGGAGTTGAAAATTAATCTTTTTTTTTTTTTTTTTTTTTTTGGATAGTGCTTTTTCTTTAGTGATTGTATAGGTTGCCTAGTACCTGCACTTGGGTACATTTCATGTGAAGATTTCCAAGTACTTAATAAATTCCTGGGCTGCACAAGCCCTAAGGTGAGGGGTCTGTGTCATTCGCCAGAATTTATGAGTTAGGAAACACTGCTGGCAGAGGAAATGGTTCAGGGTCCTGGTGTGGACTAAGAGTGAGGCTGTTGAAGGACCCAAGTTTCAAAAATTCTTGTTTTTTGCCTCCGACTCAGAATAGAAGTGTATAAGAAAACTCAACCTTAAGGGATGGGGATGCAGCTCAGTGACATTAAGTGCCTGCCTGGCAAGAGTAAGGTCCTGGGGCCGGGGAGATAGCTCAGTAGAATAAGTGCTTGCCTGGCAAGTGCAAGGGCCTGAGTTCAATTCCTGGTTCTGCCAAAAAAAAAAATAAATAAATAAATAAAGAAAAGAGCAAGGTCCCAAGTTCAGGTCAAAAAATAAACAACAACAACAAAACCCCAGCCATTGGGGCAGGGGAGATGGCTCAGTGGAATAAGTGCTTCCCTGGCAAGGGCAAGGGCCTGAGTTCAATCTCTGGTTCCACCAAAAAAAAAAAAAAAAAAAAAAAACCAAAACCCCCCAGCAAAACAAAACAAAAGCAGCCTGATATACAAGGCCCTATTTTTATCCTTATTTTACATATGATGAAATTGAGGCACAATTATTTGCCTGGAGTCATCCAGCTAGTACGTGGTATAACCAAGATTCAAGCACAAATAGTGTACTATAGTCACACCCCCAAAATTCTGGTATGTGACATTAGTGCCCATCATTGTAAGGGGATAAATACTCACTGAGTGTGTACTCAGTGCAGGGCACAAGGTAATGTGAAACTGATTTGTTCAACAAATATGTGTCAGGTACTCTCAGGGGCATTCAATAACTTTTACTGAAAGAAATATGAAATATAGTTATTTAAAGATTAGATTTGGGTAGTTTGGCAAGATGGAGACTAGGTAGAGTAAGCTTATTCTAATCTGAATTAAAGATTCAGAAATGGGAATATTTTACTGGAGTCTAAAGAGGCATATAATAATAACACATCAATTTCTTCTTAAAATAAAAACTCAGATCAGAGTCAGCCAGATAGCTCAGAGGATTAAAACACCTGCTTATGCAGAGTGCAGCAGCCAGGTTCCATCCCTGGGGTGCCATGCTGGCCCCATGCCCGGGGCTTGCTGACAGGGTGACTGGGCGTGGTGGCATGCCTGCAATTCCAGCGCTTGGGAGGCTGAAAACAGGAGGATCACTACAAGTCCAATCCACATAGTGAGACCCTGTAGATCCTGTACACTCTGTACTAAATACATTAAACAAACAAGCAAACAAACAAAAACACCTTAGATCACTAGTAACAGCAATCTGGAATGTGGTATTGGGAAGGACTCTTTAAAAAAGTGCTGGGATTAATTAGTAATATCTGCCACATAGTCCAGAATGGAAGATGGCACTTGTAGAAGACTAAAGTTATTTGAAATTGTTTCCTCTCTCTGTCACTACCCATTGCCATGTGATTTATGATGCCTCCTGTAGAAGGAAAATATGCCTTATTTTGTTGACTTTGGGCTTGGTTATGTTTCTTGTTTTGTGGGTGGAACAGATAGGACTTATGCTGTATTTGGGCATCCAGAAGAGTTTTTTCTTGTTTTCTCCGCCATTAGAATGGGCATTATTACATGCGAGAGGGTTGCTCCTTCTGCCTGGCCCTGGGCTGAGAAACACTATAGGCAGAGTGCAGTCTACCTACATTACACATAAACCAGAGCTAAACCTTTGTCGTTATATGTCACTGAGATTTTGGAGTTGGTTGTTATTGCAGCAAAGCTGACTAATATCTGTGAGTGAATAATGAAAGATAAATTATAAAAGGAGGTTTAAGGCAGAGGTAGTTTAAGCCAATGTAGACAATCTTCAATGCCAAGTGAGACAGCACCTACTATGTGTTTATCAGAACTTGTTTCTTTTTCTTGGACACACAGTTGGATCACATGGTTTAGTTTCTCCTTTAATTGCTGTCTTCTACTATCTAGATTTGGCCTATGAAACCTCCCATTGGAGGTGTTTCATGCTCTTTCCTTTTGGGTTTGATGCACATGACTTTAAATTCAGTGATCTTGAAAGTCACGTTGAAGACACTGGAGCTGCAGGTTCCCTGAATTACCACTTGGCAGAGGGCTGCCAGCTAAGAAGAATCACGTATTTTGAACTTTACTTGACCAATAACTAATAGCTAGTATTTTCCTAAACATTTCATTGAATTCAAAGGTTTGAACTTAATTCTCATCAGGAATAGGACATTGATCACTAATGATTTTCTTTTAGTGGTACTTGAGATTGAATCTAGGGCCGAGAGATAGCTCAGTAGAATAAGCACTTGCCTGGCAAATGCAAGGGCCTAAGTTTAATCCCCGGTTCTGAAAAAAAAAAAAAATCAAGGGCCTGTGTATGCTAAGGGAAAGTTCTACCACCAAGCTACATCCCTAGCCCTTTATCACATCTTTAACTTGTTTTTATCATCCTTAAATTTTGAGATAGGGTCTTCTGAGTGGCCTGGGATTGCCTCAGACTTGTGGTCATCCTGCCACGGCCCCCTAAGAAACTGAGAATATAGGTATATACCACCAAGTCGGGTTACTAATGATGTACATGAGGAATAATGCTGTGAAGACAGATGAAAGTTATAGGGTCCAAAGAATACTTTGGGTTTGAAAGACTTTTGGGTCTGTTGGTTTTTTAAGAATATACCTAATTCTTGGGGCTGGAGAGATGGCTCAGTGGTCTAAAGCACCTACTTAGAACAAGCTTAACAAAGCATCAGGGACCGCGGTTCAATCCCCCAGCACCACATGCCAGCCAGCCCCGCCCCCTGGTGGGCTGAGCTGGCCACACACACACACACCACACACACACACTCTCTCTCTCTCTCTCTCTCTCAAATAAATAAAAAAAATTTAAAAAAAATTTAAAAAAAAAAGAATATACCTAATTCTTGACTAGAGGAAGGAGAAAAGTTGGCATGACCTTTGAAGTGCTTCCTAGCGTCTGTGGAATGAGCTATTGAGAAAGGAATCTTATTTTCTTCAATTTTTTTTAACAGTGCTGGGGATTGAACACATCATGTCAACTAAATGGAAGCTGTCATGGCCCCTGGGAAGCTTTAAGGAACCATCATTATCTGAGAGGCTACTGTGTGAGAGCTGTCACCCCTCACTGAGTTATCACTGTAGGCAGGGGCTGGCCAAACTTGACCAGAGAATTCAAGAGCAATGTGCCCAAAATAATCTTATCCTGAAACTTATACTTTCCCTAAGGTAACAGCACGCTTTCTTAGGGAATACATGATGGCCAGTGTTTACTGAGTGCCTACTGTGTGTGTGAGGCAGACTTGCATCTCCGCACTCTGGGCAGCTGGGGCAAGGGAACTGTAAGGTCAAGCTCAGTCTGGGCAACGCATAGACTCAATGTGACCCTGTCTCAAAAAGAAAAACCAAGGGCAGGCCAAGTAGCTCAGCAGATTAAAGTGTCTGCTTATGTAGACACAGGGGCTAGGGGTTCAAATCCCAGGCCTGCTGCCATGCCAGCCCCGCCCGCGGGCCATGCTGAGATGGCAATTGAGACTGGACGTGGTGGTGCATGCCTGTAATCCCAGCGCTTGGGAGTCTGTAAACAGGAGGATCATTACGAATCTGATCTAGTACTGAGACCTGAACACCCTGTAGACCTTGTACTAAATACAAAGAAAGAAAGAAAGAAAGAAAGAAAGAAAGAAAGAAAGAAAGAAAGAAAGAAAGAAAAGAATGAAAACCAAAAGCTAAACACCAAGCCAAACCA